CTTAGATCCACACAACTCTGTACCGCCAGCCTGTGGTGCTGCATTCTGCATCATTGCGTGTGGCGGTGCGAGTCTAAGAGGGACTCATGGACTAGCATCGGATTTACGTACTTGAGTTGGACTGGGCTGGGATGCCTTCTTCATATATAATTGTCTCTTAACATGAAGCTCTTTCTTACATATAGATGACTGTCATGTTAGTCAAGCCGGCCTAACACAATTCCTATAGACTTGAGCAGAAGTGCCCCATGGCGTTCTCCAGGCTCAATCTTTACAGAAGCAGACTGCTACCTCTTTCTCTCATGGAGCAGTTAGTGGGTTCAAACCATATCCTTTTTGGTCGTTAGCCAAGTGCCTAACCACAGTGCCCCCAGGATTTAGTTATCAAACTAAGAACTTAATAGCACCATACTATTAACTAGACTGACCCCAGACTTCATTAAAGGTTTCTCCAGCTTTCCCATGAATGTCCTACTTCTATCCTATCCTGGCTACCACATTCTGCTCGTTTTCCGTGACTCCTCAGTCTCCTCCAATCTGGCAGTTTCTTGGTCTTGTCTTCCGTGACCTTGTCACTTTTAAAGAGTGCTAGCCATTTATTGTGTGTAATAGCTCTAAACTTGGGCTCATGTGATATTTTCTCACGAGTAGACAGAGGTTACAGGTTTGTGAGACCCATGCCACAGAGGTGATCGCCCCTGCTCATCCCATCGCATCGCGGAGATCACGATGTCAGCCTGACCTAGTGACGGCGGGGTCTGCCAGCTTGCTCCCCAGTACAGCACTGGTTCCCTTTCCTGTATTCTCTTCCTTAGAAGTGAGTCTCCAAGCCTTGCTTACATTCCCGGGGCAGCAGAGCAAGCACTACCGCCTCTAGGACAAAGGGTCAAAGAATTTGTGGGCATATGATAAACCCGCCTCAGTAATTAATAACTATTTTAAGATAAACATTTTGAGGTTATACAAATACTCTGCTTTCTCAGTAATGTGTCACCCACGTATTTTCGTTTGCATCAGTGGGTTTTATGAGTGGCAGTTAAGACAGGGAACCTCAATGGTGCAGAGGTTATACATTGGACTGAGAAGCACAGGTCAGGAGTTCAAAACCACCAGCAGCTCTGTGGGAGAAAGATGACATGTCTACTCCTGTCAAGAGTTCCCAGGCTTGCAAACCCAGCGGGGGCATTTCTACTCTGCCCAACACAGTCGTCACGAGTTGAACTCGATGGCAGGAAATGTCTCTTTTTAGGTCATAGCTGTTTCCCATTTACCTCCTTCCTTCTACATGGATTCATTTGAATTCTTCTGGAAGGAAGATAAAACAAACAAAAAGTCCCTTTGTTCTTGTTGTGGACGTACACAACAAGAGTTCAACGGGTCTGCAAGTACAATTCAGGGGCATTGATTCTAGTCTTTGAGCTATGCAGTCATTGTCAACCTCTTCTCCTGGAGCGGCTCCTCGCCATTCACACAGACTCAGTGCTTCTCAGGGTCCTACCTAACCTTCTGAGTGGTTGCGACTCAATCATCTAGAGATAACTTTTTAAAGAGCCCACTGCTCAAGGCAGACTTATTTTTCTAGTGAAGCTACAACACTGGCTTTAAGAAGAGTTCAGGGGATAATTTTGGTTTGAGGTAGAAAGATGACCTCAGGGCAATCGTTTCAGAGGTTCATCTAGTCTCTGTGACCCCAGAAACTCTGGATTGTATGAAAGTTTGTAATTATGCTCTGAATTTCCCCCTTTTGATCAGGATTTTCTATAAATTTGGTCATGGTAGCAAGAAACCATCTAGTTTGCAAGGAAGATGTAGGGAAGCAATATTGTAACCTGATTTGATTTCACTAGATATAGCAATGAGACGAGATTCATGGTCCTATAATGTTGATATAAACTTACAGTTTTTATTGAAAACACAATCAAAGGTATATTTAATGGAAGTGGTCAGGCCTCTCAGGAAAGCAAGAGCAATACATCTTAAACAGTGAGATACCTTTAACTGTGACAGATATGGTGTGATGGATAACTCCGAAGGCATTTTTGGCTATACACTGGTATTTTCCCGAATCGGCTTCTGAAGCATGAATAATCTGCAGTGTTTTCCTAAAGTTCTTATAAAATGTCCGGTTGATGGGTAAGGCTCCATCCTCTTTAATCCAGTGAATAATAGGTGTAGGTCTGATGGGATAAACAAATAACAAAGTTACCATGAGAAAGTTCAACTGTGACTACTTTGAAGCATACAATTTCATGCAAGCTTATAATAAATTATTGATAGAGAGATCATAAGGACTCATAAGACAGTTTAAATAAGCATCACCGTTTAATAAATACTACTCTGCAAGTTAGCATCTTCCCCACTTACAGGACTATACTAATCTACGGCACACCCTAAACTTGGACTTCAAGGATACAGTAAGAATCCTGCCATGATGCTACACTGAAGGGACTTAATTATCCTCTTTCAAGTTCTGAACAATGAAGGACTCATGGGAAAAATTTTTTTTTAATGAATGTGCTAGGTCAGCCAAGAAGTTAATGATACCAAGCTTTACATTTTTATCATCCAAGTTTAAAAGTCTTTCAAACAGAGCAAGGAAAGATTGCATTTCAGATCAGGAGAGGTGTGTGTCAGGGTTGTATCGTTTCCTCATATTTATTCCATCTGTGTGCTGAGCAAATAATCCGAGAAGCTGAGCTGTATGAAGAAGAGCCCGGCATCTGGATTGGAGGAAGGTTCATTAGCAACCGGAGATATGGAGATGACAGAACCTTGCTTGTTGGAAGCAAGGAGCACTTATTGGTAAAGCTCAAAGCCTTCAGTATGGATGGCAACTCAGTGCAAAGGAAACAAAAATCTCACAACTGAACCAATGGGCAAGATCATGATAGGCAGAGGAGAGGTCGATGTTTCCAAGGACTTCATTTTCCTTGGATCCCCAAGCGACCCTCATGAGAGCAGCAGTGGGGAAACGAAGGGTCACTGCACTGGGAAACCAGCTGCAAAATACCTCGAGGTTTGAAGAGCGTGTCACCTGAGCCCTGAGGTGCGCCTGGCCCAAGCCTGGTGTTTTCATTCCCCTCCTAACGAATAAGGACGACGGCGGCAGAAGAAGCGATGCCTTTGATCACGGTGTTGGCAAAGAACATGGAAAGTCCCGTGGACTGCCGGACAACAACAACAACAAATCTGTTTTGGAAGTGGAGTCAGAATGCTCCTTAGGAGTGAGGATAGGAAGTGAGGATCTGGTTTCATGTACTTTGGACATGTTACGAGGAGAGACCAGTCTCGGGAAAAGGGCGTCAGGTTTGATACTGTAAAGGGCGGTGGAAAAGAGGAAGACCCGCGACAAGATTGATGACGCGTGGTCACTGCCACCACGGTCTCTTTCATAGGACCAGCCGTGGGGCTGCCACGAGCAGAAGGGTTTCGTTCTGGCCTCCATTGGGCCTCTATGAGTTGCAATGGACTCGGGGCACCTAGCAAGTTAAAAATGCACAGGAAAAGAACTGATGTGCACATCTGAGTCCTTGAACTTTTACATACATTTACATACCGAATAGAAGAACTGTTCAATTACACCACGGGCCACATGATGATGTAAATTAAGTAATTCAAGGAATAGTGATTATAATTTCATTAGATTTCATTATAATAATTTCATTATTAAGATATTTTAAGTTGTTATACTCATTGATAAGAGTCGATCAAATTCACCTGCTACAAAGACCTAGCCTTGCCCCTACATTGCTCTCTGACCTTGGATACCTGACTTCTTGGGCCTCGGGGGGGAGGGACAGTGTAAGATACGAAACAATAATAATATATAATTGATCAGGGGGGGGGGGGGGGGAACAAAAGTGCTCGGATGGATCCGAGGACTTCAGGAGGCTTCCGTGAGAGTGAAAGTACAAGGGCATCCAGCACAAGCATTTATTAAGTGCTGCATTATACAACTAGTACTCAGCAATATGTTGGGAAAATAAAGGCAGAAAGGAATTGTGTAGACGCTCAGGAAGATCACAATACTTGTCATCAAAAATGCAAGTGAGATTGTTTGTAGAATTGTTTTTGGCTTGTTTGATTTAGTGAAAATAATTGAGCCTATTTATTTGATTAAATGATAGCTGCTAAAATTAAACCATGCTGTGTGTACATAAAATAAGATGTGAGATTATCTTAAAAATTGAAGATGGTGTACACATGTGGAATATGATAACATTATGATGTTTCCTTTTGGTTAGACTTCGTATCTCCTGACTTGGGCATGAGAGGGAGATGGGGATGGAAGCATGAATGTCAACCATATCTTACATACCACAAAGCCATTATTTTTTCTGTTTTTAAGAATAGAAAATACTATGATTCTTTGAGTAGAATGCTTATTGTTTTATAACAAGAGTCTTGGTCTTTCAATATTTCAAGCATTTAGTATTCCTTTGGGAGTTCTGTAAAATTTCCCCAAACTGACTGTATTTTAGTTTTTAAGAAAATATCCTTTGTGTAAGGTGGGGTTCACCAAATTATGAGAACAAGTATTGTCATGAATTAGATTGTGGTCTCCAAATAGATACGGTGAAGTAGTAACCTTCAGACCTGTGAACACGTGAGGTTGTATGGGAACTGACTGGATTTTTAAATATTGGGATGGGTTCTAATCCCATCCAAGTGGTGTCTTATAAAAATGTTAGACCTAGAGAGAAGACATTATTAGAAGATGTATCAATAGGACACAGAATGCTTAGGATTGCTGACGACCACCAGAAGGTAGGAGTGAGGCATGGAATAGCTCCTCATGTCAAGAAACTGAACTTATTTGAAAAGAGAGTTTGCTAGTTCTCAGTAACTTGAGGAATTCAGAGGAGTGGCTTGTGATTTCCTGTCGTGGCCAGCAGAGGCCTCCATGCACCTCTTGAAGTCAAGTGATTCCTGGAAGCCTATTCTGGGCAAGGATGTGGGACCAGTGAGTGACCAGCTCAAGGACAGCCTGGATCACAGCCGGGGAGGGGAAATGGTTTCTGAGAGTCCACTCAAAGTTGTCAGCAGACGTGCTCATATCCATAGCAGTTGTCCTGTACCAGACACCGAGTGGGAGCTATGTCAATGCTGACTATGGATGTGTACCTAACGTACCACGAGAGTGTCTCATATCGAGCTGAAGCCCCCATGTAATCGTGTCGAAGGCATATCAATTTGGGAGTGTGCACAACGGAAACATTTGCAAAGAATGCGGGGTTGTTCTTGTGGCTTGCTACTAGGAAATAGCGGAAAGGGAAGCATGCCAGTTCCTGGCTTAGATCGGAAGAGTCTGGGTGAGCTTCTGTTGTCTATTAGAAGTTCATGGCCAAGAGCTCGGGTGCTCCAGCCAAGAGCTTGCAGACCCTGACTCCCAGCAAATGCATGGGGAGCTCCAAAAGAAATGAACTGGATCCAGTCTGCATCGGAACATACTTGTAGTCCTGCAGATAAATGGTCAATAATAAATAGCTATTGTTTTGAGGGCACTAAGTTTTGATGAGGCTTATTACACAACAGTAGCATAATGACACAATCTAATTATAACCATAGAGATCGTCAGGTGATTACTGGTACTTCTTTCAGGATCAATACTGCTGAATGAACAAATTATTTTAGCAGTACTACTAGATTCATATTACCTATGTTTAAAAGAGTCATGAAAACGTTCATGATGCCTAGGAGGTAGTATGCGGCAACTCTTTCTTTATGACATGAATGCCTCTCTCGGGGTTGCATCCTTTCACCACACTATTCAATGTGTATGCTGAGAAACAGGGCTCTCTGAAGAAGGCTGCAGCAGCAGGATGGGAGGAAGGCTTACTAACAACCTATGATATGCATAAGCCACACCTTGCTTGCTAAAAACATACGGGACCAGAAGCACTTGTTGATAGAGATCAAAGGCTTCAGCCAGCAGTCTTTGATCAACAGCTCAATGTTTGGATTACAACTCAATGTAAAGAAAACAAGCATCTTCACAATTGGACTAATCAATAACATCACGGTAAACAGAAAAGAATGAGGTTGCCAACAATTTGATTTTGCTTGAATCCACCCATCCGTGCTCAGGGAAGCAGCAACCAGCTACATTGGGCAAATCTGCTGCTCACAGCCTCTTTAAAAGTGTTAAAGAACAAAGGGGTCACTTTGAGGACTAACAGGCTCCTGACCTAAGCCCTGATATTTCAATGGTTTCATACACAAGTGAACGTTGGGCAAGGAAAAAGGAAGAATGTGGAAGACTTGATGCCTTTGAATTACAGTGTAGGCAAAGGGGACGGGAAGTACTGTGCACTGCCAGCAAAACAAACAATTGTGTCTGGGAAGAATGAGAGTCAGAATGTTCCATAGTCATGGACCTAGCAAGACTCCATTGGATATATGATCAGGGACAACCAGCCCCTCGTGTTTGGTAGCAGTATAGAGAACGGCCCTCCAGGAGATGGATGGAGCCAGTGGCTGTCATCTGTAGGTTCAAACATCACGAGCACGGGGAGGATGGCTCAGGACCGGGCAAGGTTTCATTATGTTTTCCAGAGGGTTGCTTGCTATGAGATGGAACCGACTAGAGGGCACCTGACAACAACAATATCAACCTACTTGTATTTTCATGTGAAGTATGAAACAGAGTACCCAGCACACAAAGTGTAAGCTCACAATCGAACAACAATATCAACCTACTTGTATTTTCATGTGAAGTAGGAAACAGAGTACCCAGCACACAAAGTGTAAACTCACAATCGAACAATATCAACCTACTGTATTTTCATGTGAAGTATGAAATAGAGTAGTACTCAGCACACAAAGTGTAAACTCACAATCGAACAACAATATCAACCTACTGTATATTCATGTGAAGTAGGAAATAGAGTACCCAGCACACAAAGTGTAAACTCACAGTCCTTCTGCAATGCACTCCAGCGAGAGAGCATTTCCTCGTAATTCCTCTTTGCTACTTGCATTGCCCTCTGGAGTTAAAAACGTTGGTGGCCTCTCTTTACTTGATTTAGCTGCAAAGAGGATGCATTAAAAGTTGTCAATTTCTAGTTATGCATATCCCTAGAAATGCAGCTCACTATCAAAATAGCTGTCTAAAATTGGAAACCCTTTTCAAAGCCATGTAACAGAAGGCGTGCAATTTGTTAAGCTACACGTACACACACTTGGCCTTGAAAATAGTCATCACTCACTCAGTTAATGAAGAACAGAAAGCAATTTGGGTTAGTTGAGCGCTGGTGTGAAGGGCTTACTTTCCTTTTGTGCATTTCCTTAATGTGGGCTCAGTGTTTATGAATTTTCAATGGGTTGGAATATTTCCAAAATGTAGACCGAAAAAGGAAAATCCTATTATATAATTAGACATTGCATATGATTATGGCTCAGGTCAAAACAAAAATTAACTGTCTATCATCTGGAAGATGTGAGGTCTTTTAGAAAAGATATAATTATGGAAAAGGTATTGTGGTTACCACCAGGGACCAAAGTACAGCCAATTTTGTCAAATTAATCAAGAAGATGCCGTATTTTCGCACAAAGAAAATACACATTTCTTTTGTGTTTGTTTGTTTGTTTGTTTGGCCAATTGTGCTATGCCAGATGTACTACGTCACTCCGTTCAGCAGTCTGTCTGGTATGTAGGTGAGAGCATGTTATTTACATGGGAGCGTCATTGGTGAAAAGATATAGTACATTTGTGAGGGATACCTAACGTATCAAGACCCAAAACTACAACATGTGAGGGACAACAAAACAGCTAGATGAAGACCTGGCAAATTACATGCCATCTATTAAAACAGTGGTGGAATGAAGGACATTTGTATTGATTTCCTTAATGCAAACATAAAGAAGACCCCAAGATATGAAGACGCTATTATGGACGTCCAAGTTCTTCGGGGGATTCATACAAGCCGCCTTCTCTTTTATGGAGGTCTCGTGATCTGTGTCTTATCTCCTGAAGGCCTTCCAAAAGGAAAAAACAAACTATTGAAGTAGAAAATAAACTGTCGTCAAGTTCTATAGCCTTTTACAGTTTTCAAAAATGCTTTAATGCATGAGCTCTATCTGATGCTCACAGATCCTGAATGAAAATGCAATCTAGGAAGTATTTCATTTCTAAGGGAATAAAGCAAAAAACCTGAATTCTAGAGCAGGTGACTATGGAGACATTAGCGCTTTCCTACGGGATTTGATATTTTAAAGGAAGCCTACTTCTCTGAAAGCACCCAGGGCTGGGAGGGGGTGGGGAAGCGGAGGGACTGGGGGGCAGGGGGAATGATTTTGAGGTCCATATGTTTTCAGAAGTACATTAAAATAAAATAAAAGCAGGGAATGTGGAATCTATCCTGGTTATGAAGGGATACTTCTATTTTTAAAAAATGTTCTATCTTCAGGATAAAAGTTACCCTAGCAGATGATCTATCTTACAGATGATTAAAATAGCTTGATATCCCAAACCTGCTTTTTTCATCGATACACTATATTTTAGAGTCATTATCTCCTTTAGGAAATCCAACTCTTTTCTATTTAAGAGAGTGAGATAAGATGCTGTCTATTAAAAATTCTGATATCTCAAGATGCCAACTCAGGTTTAAACAAAACTGAGGGACATATTCTTGCAGATTATACTGGTCATGTCATGTGGGAACACATGGGGAATGGGATGTTTGCTATGGAAGTTCACTGAAGTTAGTTGCCAAAGGTTATGAAGTATTTGATGAGTTAGTAATCGAGCAGACTAAAAGACTGCCAATTTTTACTCAGGCCACAGGAAAATGTTAATGGATACGACAAAAATGAAAAACACGCTTCCACACCTGCATGAAAGATTTTCTTTCAATTCACGTGAAATGGTTCTTTACATGGAAACAGTTCAAAATGCGTCCTCATTATCAAACATGCATCGTGGAAAATGTTTTCGTGACAGATGTTTGAAAGTTTATAACTACAGTTCCACCAAGCATACTTGCACTCCAGTGGTACTAAGCATGTAATTAGAAACTTCGTAAAGAATAAGGTTAAATAGCCATGGAGGTGAAGTTAGTGAACTAAAGTCTACAATGAAGGAGAGGGAAATCAGTTACAATCACCATGACTCACCACCATAAACCTCAGTGTCACTCAAATTAGCAGCGATAGTGTCATTCAATTCATCCACTGAAATAGACAGGAGATCATGAAGAATGCACACGAGCAGGGACAGATCAAAAAAGCACGGGGCAGTAAGAGCACCGGGGTCGACTCTAGTGACAACGCATCATCCCGACTAAGGCAAAACCGTGCTTGACATTGTACACGATAAACTCACGGGATCACTCACCCCAACCAGGGATGTGGGCCCCCTCTCTTAGGCTGCAAGACGGCCCAGTGAACGGCATCATGTGGCAAAAAGCACACTCAGATGCTGAGAGCACGAAGTATATTCCAAAACTTAATACAGAAATAGTATTGGCAATAAAAGTTGCTTATGTATAGCAAAGAAAAGTAATATGCAGTATTTGAAATATGCCTGTTCTTTCTGAGATGTAGGCCAACACTTCTGCAATTACTTGCAGGTAGTTTCTTCAATGAACCACCTGTTTCCTCCAGAGTTGGTAGTATTCAGTATTGAATTATTATTAGTCTACTTGACTCATGTTTGTCAGCATCACGGAAAGAGAGGTTTGGGAAGCGGAAGTCTTACCTGAAAGCACCCTCACAGAAATAGGTTGTTTCTGCTGTATGGTCTGAGTGTGATTAAACCTGGCATAGCAGATATAGTCCTCCCGGCTGTCCTCTGGGAGGACATTGGAAAAATAAAGGTCTCCATTGAGACCCTGGGAGACTCGCTCACTTTGCGGAAGTCTTTGAAAGGCTGGAGAAAAGCAGAAAGATACCCCAGATCATTCATTCCATCATAGAAGTAGCCACTTTCCCAATTCGTGAGATAAACGTGTCTACATAAATATTTCTTTCACTAACAGTTCGGTGACCTTCCTTGGAATAGTTTCCTTTTCTCCAAATCTCTTTGAACAAAAAGTCATTTAAAAACACACAAACCCCCCGACATTTCAAAACTCCAACTCCAACTGGCCAACCGGCGTGTCTGTGGGTGGGAATAGAGGTGAGATTAGGATTACACAGTCGAGTATCTTATTGACCAAATGTAAATTAGAATGATTTAAGTATATTCTATCAAAAGAGTTGGTGTGACTTTTTAATACTTAAATTAGCATCTAGTTGTAAACAACTAAGATTTCTTCTTGCTTGGATCCACAGGCAATGCTTACTGTGTTGGGTACATCTGCTGCACAAGGCCTCTCTTCTGGGTGTGGACAAGCAAAGATGTTACTTTGAGGACTAGGGTGCACCTGACCCAAACCATGGTATTTCCTGTTGGTTTCTAAGCCTTTGAATGTTAGGCGTTGAATAGGGAAGACAGAAGAAGAGTCTGCATTGGATTGTGGTGCTGGTGACAAATACTGACAGTGCCATGCACTGCCCAAAGGACAAGCAAGTCAGTGTGTTTGGGAAGAAGGACGGCCAGAATACTCTTTAGAAGCAAGAATGGCGAGTCTTCGCATCACATGCTTTGGACATGTTATCTGGAAAAGGACATCATGCTTGGTAGAGCGGCAGTGAAAAAGAGATGTGCTGACACAGTGGCTGCAAAACTGGGGCCAAACGCAGGCACAATTGCGAGGAGGGCGCAGGACGGGGTATTGCTTGGTTCTGCTGTGCAGAGGGCCGTTATGAGTCAGAACAAACACGCAGACACACACGTACCTTAGAACGTGCGCTAAAGGAGCGTCCCTGGATGTCTAACATCGGGTCCATCTACACAACAGTCGGAAGGCAGATACTTTGAGAGCACGTCATGGTGAGCTAGACCTGTGCTGGGTTTGGGGGCCCCTAGAGCCCCTGCTCTGGCAGGCAGTAAAAAGGACCACAGACCACCATCTGGTTCAATGACATCGCTGTTCAATGCTGTGCCCTGCCTCCACCTCCTAGTCTCCCCCACCTGCTCTACTTCTTCTCCCCGAACTACATATCCATTTCTAAAGGAAATTTGCTTCCCTTGAAACCCACCAAAGTCAGGTGTGAAAACCTATTTCTAAAAGGTCAGAGCTTTGAAAATACTAGGGAGCAGTTTGACTCTGTGCACAGGGGGTTGTCAGGAGGTGGAAGTGACCAGACAGCAGCCACTACCACCACCACCAACCAAATGACCAGTTCACCCATTGCTGTGCAGCTGTCTACTCCTGGTCACCCTTGTGTGTCAAAGCAGAATCTACTGAACACGGTCTCCCCTGGCTGCCTTTTGGGAAGTAGACAACCAGGCCTTGTTTTAAGTGGGCTTGAACCTCCAACCTTCCAGTTAGCAGCTGACTGCCTCTGTACCACCCTGGGCCTCTTTGCCTTTCACATCTACAGTTTATCGCCCGACTCCCTACTAGACTTTTGAGCTGTAGGAGGCCTGAAGCCTTCATCAGCTTTGTACACTGTTGTATCCCGGGATCGGTGCCTCGCCTTAATTGGGTGCTTGTTAAAGGATGGAATGACTGGCTGCCTTTGCGGTTCCGGCATGACCATTTACTTTCTTTGCAGATGTTATGGCCTGGGGGATTTCCCCCCCCCCCTCCAGGTAGACTCAAGCAGCTGTGCTTCTCCTACCGCGGCCCCCTCCTCTCTGTTTTAGAAAATGCACAAGGATGGCTAGAAGCTGGTGCTCTTTCGGGAAGGAAAAGGCAGAGTAACGTGGAGTCAAAGCTTGAAAGTAAGTTAATGGAGCTCCTGGTCAAGATGAGGTTTTGACTGGTGGTTATAAGCGAATGGGTTTAAGGTTTAAACACATTAAACTGTAAGCCATTTAATCTCTAGGGAAAAGGCTATTTTAAAAACTTTTCTGAAAAATAATGAACATGTATTTAATGAATACTTAGAGCTGTAGGAGGCGGGACTTTGCTGTTTGAGTTTCTTTTCATTCTCTTTGAAAGACGTGCCCAGGAGAACCAGCGTTAGAATATGCCATCTTGTAAGCAGAGTGGTGGCAAAGATCTGGATTGTCCTCATTTCTCAGATGTAACCACCTTAAACATTAGAGATGTTTTGCCAACCGCCTAAAGACTGATATATGTAAATGATGTTTCCAGCAGTGCCATGGGTAACAATAGTGTCTTATGTAGATGATTTGGGGATTTACATGTGCAATGTCACCGACCTCATTTAGGCCAAAACCCTTTCCTTTTATTTATTTTTAGGTTTGCAAAGAGGCCTTTCTTTTATCTAGCTCAAATAGACACTATCACACCTTTTACTAAAAAGTTGCTCCTTTTACGAAAATAGTTCAAATCAATGTCTGTACCACACTATGAAAAAAGGCTGGTTCTCTCCCAAATCAAAGGGATTCAACTGAAGGTGGGCATGGGCATTGGAGCCAGTAGGTGGGTGGCCAGACTTGGGCCACTTCCAAAGAGTGGCCCAAACCCCTGAGATATGAACATTGACAGCCCTGCTCCTCATCTCTTACAAAGCACAAAATCAGGAGTATTTGTGTCCTCTCAAGCCTCAAGGAACAGGCAAGGTCACTTCTGAACACTGGTGTGTAGCTAAGAACTGGGGTCCGACTGCTCAGCAGGTTGCAATGGGGCTGGGGGCACCGCTGCAGGAGGGGGAGGTCAGCAAAATTGGAAAAGTCTAAGGGCAGCAAGACCCGGGCATGTGAAGGGACGGGCCCTTATGAAGGGTCACTAACATCGGCAACAGCCCACCTGCTGTCACCAGGCACTGGCCTTCCACCACCCTATACCCCAGCATGAGCTGTGTGCACCTGGCTGGGTCCCAGGGGCAGGTAGACCCACTACTGGCCACGGAACAGCCGAAAGCCCTTTCTATCGAGCCTCTGTGGCCTTTCTCACCTGGTCCACTGAGGCACTCAGCCTGGTCCCACTGGCCTCCTTTTTCTCCAGATGCTCACTAGGGATGCTCCCACTTTAGATTTGTACCTGGACACCCAGGACCCCTGGTTTACTCATGCATTTCTTTAGGTTTCCAAAGCCCTGTTACGAGGTCTTTCCTGACCATCTTACTTAAAACAGGACCTCTCAGCATCATTCTGATGCTCTCTCGTAGCACTCACCGTCAACTGACACGGCTTTGCTGCCTGCATTTATTGTCTGTCCTCTCATCCCTCATTCTCAGTTCTCTTACTGCCAAGAATGTGAGCTCAGGGTGTGCAGGGGATTTGTTCCTTTGTTGCAAGCAGTACCTGGTACGTGGTGGGTGCTCCGTAACACTGGGTGAATGAGTGGGTGAGTGAATAAAAAAGCATGTTGTTGCTTTCAAAGAACATTTCTTTCCAGAGCATCTCTAAAGCATCTGTGAACATTTTACAGAGCACAGGAAGTTGAGATTTATTATAATACGCCAGCAATCTGAAGACTCTTCAAGAGAGTTGAGATTTTAAAAAACTTACAATTATCCATCCAGAATATTATAGGTGGTGGTAATCCAATTGGGGGCCTGCAGGGAAGCACTAAAGACTGGCCATTTCGGAGCGTTATTGGTTCAAGTTTTTCTTTGGTCCACAACGGTGACCCTGTTAAATAGAATATTCACTGCTAAGTCATCACTGCACTGAAAATAAAAGGATCAATTCTTTTTAAAGTTCATCTATCAAAAAAAATGTTCATCTATCTAACTTTGGGGGGGAAATTCAGGATTTGTATACATTTAAAAATAATACTTGTAACTAACTCCTTCATTACCATAAAAAAACCCATTGGGTCTACGAATTTATACTAAGTAAATGATTACGATGGTACATAATGATTCTGCTACACAGAAAACACTTAAAGGTCAAAAGATTTGCAACTAAATAATTATACAATTATACATTTAATATAGCATGATATATACTACTTTTTAATAAGATTAACATGTAAATATTTAAGATATGAAGCCAGAAGAGCTTATAAAGTTATATTTCATAATGAGCTTCTTTAAAAGCACATACAAACATAGCCACCTAGAAAGAAATGGAAAATAACATGTGAACAGTGATTAGGATTCAAGAGCGATTTTACAGTTTCCACTCTAGTGTATGAACGATGCTTTCTCTACCAGGGGCTCAGATGATACAGGTCATCTACTGTCAAACAATGACCAGAGCTGCATGTGGCCATTGTTCTAAGACGTCATCTTGAGAGGATGGGGGTAATCCCTAGTGCCAAAAAGCCACAATAAATTCAAGGAATCGAGGCCACTCTATCTCTAGGGAAATTATAAAAGATGTTTATAGAAACAGCACTTAGATCTCAATTGCCCATTTCATACTGACTAGTTCTCTCCACCTGACTAAGTAAAGGCTAGCTCATAAAATATTTGAGGAAAAGCTAATTAGATCAATTCTGGCAAAAATATATATTTTTCTTAACTTTGCTTTTAAAAACCAGTACCTGAATAAAAGACATATCGGCTTAGCAAAGCAAAGTAGGAAGAAGCAATGATTTTTATGCACTTAAAGCCAAGCTATTAGAAGCGACCCCATTTACAACCCCCCCCCCCCTAGTCATGGTATTTGGCTGATACATAACAGATGCTGAGTCTGGGAGCAATATTTTAAAAGGTGGCATGCTTGGAGGCCAGGTTTCACTTACTGGATGGACGGATGACAATATTATTAGAAATGGCAGCCCCACGTTCATTCCTTGCTGTGCACTGATAGATGCCTTCGTAGGTCTCTGCTTTCCCCTCACTCATGATGTTGATAGTGAGGGTTCCTGAGCCAGCGCTCATGGTGACCATCGGGTCCTTATCTATGTCAAAATGGGTCCCATTACGTGTCCAGGAGAAGCTGCCCAACACAGGAAGTAACAATTACACTGGTTAATGGCCTAGAAAATAAGGATTCTCTTTGCTCTTTTGACAGATTTCTAGATGTCTTGTGGGTCTCTAGAAATAAGTACTAGATTTACTATTCAGTAAAAGAGCAAAACCGAAAATGGTTCATTGAATTATGACTTAGAAAAGAAAGTGTTGGCTGTGGGTTTTAAGGGCATGTTTTCATTAGAACCAATCCAAATCTGACTCAATAAGGAAATCATGCACACAAACTGCCTGTCATTTTTCAAAAGGGTTGGGGGGCGGGGTAAGATCAGGGGAGCAGGTCTCCCAGGCACATGCTCTTAGAGCTCTATTAGCATTTTTATTGTAAACTGCGTTGCTCATTGAGTTGGTAACCTGTCTATAAAACTTTGCTCTGGGCTACAATGTGACAAGAAAGGCAGAAACATATATAATTGATGAGACTAGTTTCAAGTTACCAAAGTGCAAAGTACAGGTTTGGAAGGAGAGGAGAAGACATGAAGTCATTGCTGTTTTAAATACGGGGAGTCCCTGGGTTTCAAACGAGATCAGTTCTTAACTGTGCCTTTCAATAGAATTTGTAAGTGAGTTGGAAGAGGAGCAAGCAGTTCTCGTTTGATCTAATTTCTGGTGCAGCAGGGTAGTATTGGGTTACTACCTGTAAGGTTGATGGTTCAGACCTACCAGATGCACCAAAGAAGAAAGTTGAAGCTGTTTGTTCCCATAAACATTTACAGCCTTGGAAACCATATGGTCCTACAGGGTTACCGTGAGGCCACGAGTTAGACTTGACTTGATGGCAGTGAGTTTGGGGTTTCGTTGGCTATTTTGGATGGAGCTCCAAGGACTCATAGAAGGCGCCATATGCAACCTCTTGGTTTTACAGATGAAGGACACGAGGCCCGGCAATAAGGGATTTGTCTGTGTCATGAGGCCATTTATTTCCGTACCACCATTGGAGGGCTCCTTCCCCATCTCTCTGTCACACTCAAGCATTTTGCAGATGAATGTAAGCAAGGAACGAGAACGTTCCAGGTTTCTAAGAAGGGAAAGCTGATGAGTTTAATTAAGCAAAAAGATAAAATCATGACCTTTCAAAGGACACATTCAGGACGAGTGGAGTCAGAGAACGTGATTTCAGTGTCTTTGAAGGGATTAGGGGAGTTGGTTGGGTCGACCAGGGGTAATCTGCAGTTCTCTGCATGGAGAACCATCCCGCCATGTAGTGCTCTCTGAGGCCGCAGTCCTCCTACAAGATCTCTAAAGCCGTGTCCAGATGGAGAGTCTCCCCCGGCAGAGCCCAGCACGGGGACAAGCAGAGGGCATACCCACCTTGGAGGAGGCTTCCCCTTGGCCTCACACTGGATGACAATATTCTCCCGAGGGTCAATAATATAATCTTTCGGAGACTGTTGCGTGATGGTTGGGGGTTGTACCACTTAATGGTAGAAAGAAGAGCAATGTAAAACAAACAAAGACATAATTGAACATCAGAACAGGAACTACAATGGGGAAAAGACTTTACCTGAGGCAAAATAGGCCGCCAATGTTTGTAATAATTTCTACTGGGCTGGTACACAGCTTCAAGTAAAACGTTACTTACAACTGGGATGTCACACCCCAACTTCCTTTTGACTTTACAACTTCCTTGGTAACTTTACATGCACTCACAAACACTGGTTTCCACACTGAAAGTTTGGGAAAAGGATGATCAGCACACGCCTAACATTAAAATCATTTCTTTTCTGATGTAACAATGAGAAATTCCTCTGCTTAGTACATCATTTCAGAAGGTGTCTGTTAAGGGAATTTAAGCAATGGAAGAAATGTGTATTTCTTTTAGGGAAGAATAACTCACATATGGTTCATCAGTGAGGTCATGTAAATTAGTATACTTTGCCGACAAATACATTTTGAGAGATTAAAGATCAAAAAGGTTGTTATATTGGAAACTTGATGTGCCTTATTAAAGGCAGATGAATTAAGACCAAATAGAAAGCAATCTTATTTAGAAGAAAAAATGGACATCTGTAAGATCTTTGTTCTGGAAGTCAACATTTCCATTGCCCTTTCTGAGATGTTGTCTGATCATTGATTGTCTTAGAGCTGCAGGAGCTCTGACCCAGAGCAATCTGACCTGAAGAAACCTGGTCTCTGTGCCTCCGACTCTCCTCAAGTTGCTTTAAGAGATGAACGTCAGCGTGTTAGGGCGGGAACAGACCGAGAAATGATCTGTTCCTACTTCCGCATCCACCACATGTCTGTCAGTTTGTCGTCCTGTGGTGGCTGTGTGTCACTGGGATCCAAGGGCTAGGCCACTGGTATTTCAAATCCTGGGAGGGCCACCCAAAGTGAAGGGGTTCCAGCAGAGCTTCCAGACTAACAACAGGCTAGGAAGAAGGAATAGGCTGCCCACTTGTGAGGAAGCAGCTGCTGAAAGCCCTCTGGACAGCATCAAACAGTGTCCGTTACCGAAAACCTCAGGAATAGAAGCAGAACATTGTCAGCTACAGTGCCACCAGGAGCCTGCAGGTCAGAAGGCACTCAAAATATGACTGAGAAAAAGCTGCCTTCTCAAAGTAGAGTTGTCCATAATGATGATGATGGAGCTATGGGAGCTAACGGCCTTTGGGACCTTCATTTGCTGACTAGGCACGACTCAAAAAGAGAAGGAACAGCTGCAAACATCAATTAATCATTTGAACTTGTAAAGACAAAGTATGACTCTCGGAAAATTGGATGTTGTTAAAAA